ATGGGCGGTTGGAACACAACTTCTTAAACCACTCTCAATACTCATGAAAATTTTCTCTAGTAAATTATCAAATCCTACGATTTTCTTCCTAATGCTCACGACCCTCGAAGCAGGAAAGTATTTCATTAGGAATGCTTGCTTCATCCTATTCCATTAGTCTATTGGGAGATCTTATAATCAATCCTTAGCACCTCCATTCAACAAAAAGGGAAGGAACGTTTTTAACTCAATCCGATCTTTCGATATTTTTTACGGTCTCATAGTTGAGTAGACCACATGAAATTCTTTTAAATGTTTATGAAGGTCTTCTCTAACTAGATCCTAAAATTTCAAAAGCAAGTGTATCGGTTCCAATTTCAATTCGAAATGCCACCTCTACTAGATCCGAGAACTTAATGCATAGGGGTTGTCGATTTAGATTAGGATCGGCTAACTCTTTTAATATCCTTTTTGCCCTATTTGTAACCATATCATCTCTTTCTAAGTCACTTGATGATAAGAACTCAATAACTATGGTTATTCTTAGTGAAACCACTTTCGGTCCCTCAATCAAAGCTAACCTCACTTCCTTCTTAACTTGCTTAATTTTTTTTTCGTTTCAAGATTGAAAATCAGCTATTTCGATTAAGACTTCGTCATATACCAATAGTAACAAAAATATAAGAACAATAAAAATATCCAATAATAATAAACTTAACCGTAATCCTCAATAATCGTATAAAAATTTGATGGTGTGTCGTACTACCAATAAATTAGTAATTTATATGTGTCTTTATTGAGCTTTTAATCACAATTAAATAATTAGGGCAAGTAAGGGTCGAACCCATAAGGAAAGGGAATCAATTAATTGCCTTGGGTGTTCTTATATGTAAAAGGGTTTGTGTGTTTAAGATGCTTGAAAATATTATAAAGTAATAAGAGATAACAATATGAGAGTAGCCTTCATTGAACTTCGGTATCCACTTTTAGTTTGATCGTTGATCATTGATAAAATAGTTAACTCACCCTAACATGAATATTTATTGTAAGACAATAATATATATGTTGACTTCAATCTTTTCTTACCTAGTCATTAATTGAATATACGATACCTAGTTAATTCCTTAGTTATTGAATAACTTATTAAGTATTAGATAGATTTAATTTAATAACAAATTAAGATAATAAAGATAGGTAAAGCTAAGCCACCTTCCTCAAGCACTAGAGAGGATGTAACCTAGTTCTTTATTTTTCAAGGAATTGAATGAAAACATCACTAATTATCAACCTTTAGTTACTACCATAGGCAAGTTTATACCATCGGTTACACGGATACGAATAATTAGCTAGCAATAAGTAATATGAATTATTAACTAGTGCACTCTCTAATTTAATTAATCATCCAATTATGAACTAATTATGCGAGAAAAATATAAAATACCAAGTAGAGATAAGTTTAGAAATAAAACTAATAATATCACAATGATTAGCCAAAAGCTTCAACTTAATTCAACCAAGAATAGAGTTTAGTTGTTCATAATGTAATACAAAGAGAATTTCTATTAATGGTGACTATAGAAGAGCTAGCTGGAAAGTGAGATAAATAATATCCTAACTTTGTTATTTATACCCAAAACTAGGGTTACATCTCTTTTTGTATCGGTATTACATTATCACATGGCTTGACATGTAAAGTCACATGATTTTTTACTTGATATCACACGGTTTGAAGCCTTGGAAATTAAGTTATACATGACTATGTAACTTTGTTCTACATCCCGTGTAAAAAGCCTTCTGCTCGTGTATACTTATCTTCTTTAGCCATACGAACGTGAAGCTTTACACCGTAAATCATGTAAAAAGCCTACTACCCATGGGATCTTCTTTTTTCCTTGACTTTTGTTGGGTTTAATCAACCATACGATTGTGTGGAATGCTTCCTCCGGTCGTGTGGAAATGGTTATGCCCTTGTGACTTGCTATGCTTGAGATTCCACAAGGTTTCCTCCTTTAAGTCACACGACTAGTAGCTATTTTCTTTGTTATTTCATACGGTAATGTCACTCTTCGAAGTCTCTTTGAAGTTTCTCTCTTTTCTCCTTAGGTTTTGGGTTTCCTTGTTCTAATTCATCATTTTTCCTACAAAACCCGAAAATGTCATCTCATTCTTAAATAACATAATATAATGCAATAATTACTAGAAAGTTCAATATAATAAAGCATAAAAATCATGCTAATTATGTACTTATTAATCATAATAAAAGAAATCTCTTTTATCTCTTGATACATAAATAAAGATTGACTTCTAGCAAGGCATTATCACTATCCAATTCTCTAAGATGATTAATTAATCCATAATTACCTTTCATGAATATGGTTTTTATACGGTTCAATTCTCATGTTAATTTATCATAGTGTGATCTCGAAGGTTTATTTTCTATTTAATTATGATTACATAAATTTTTTTCGATTTCAAAATGTCTTAGTCGTAATAACTCGAGCTCGTTATTAAATGAGTTAAAATATATTAAAGGTATATGAAAAATACTCCATGGGCATAGGATAATTGCTTGAGGGGTTGTTAGAATATTTGGAGCACTTAGGATAGTTTTCGTGTGCCTAACAAATATTTTATTGATTTTTTGGTATGTGAATATTACCCTGTTATATGAAATAATTATTTCAAGCATGTTATTTGTGCATGAAAATTATTATGTTTACATAGAATATTTACTAGAGGGGCGCTAGAATATTACGTGCATTTGGATGAATTTTTCAGGTGTTCGGTGAATATTTTATTTGGCTCGCGGTGCATGAATAGTATTTTTATGCAAATTAATTATGTTAAGTGTTTTAATTGTGCATGAAAATTATCCAATGGGCATAGAAAAATTGCTAGGGAGACGTAGGGATATTCCATGCACATAAGTGAATTTTTTGTGCTTAGGGAATATTTTCCGTAGGAATAAGTGTATTTTTATGCAAAATAATTAATTTTAAGGCCTAAATGTGTGTATAAAAATTATATGAATGATGAATAAATTACTATAGAAAGTGATTGAATTTATTATAGAAATAAATTATTTTTTGGATAGGCATGGAATAAATTATGCATACATACGGACTCGATTGCATAAAATTAAGGACCTAATTACATAAAATTAGAGATCCAATTGCATAAAATTAAAAGTTTAAACTTTTAAATAAAATTATAAATGAACTTGAGGAAGTAAAAAGTTATTAAAAAAGCCTAAAAGGATGGACCTAAATTAGCCAATTGAAATTTTAGAGGGCTTATAGAAAAGAAAAAATGGGATAAAGTAATAACGTGAGGGATTAAAATAAAATATTTTTGGGAGAGATTTTTCTCCCATTTTTCCACCTCTCACCCTCCATGATTAGGGTTCATTAATTAACTTTGACTTGTAAGCTTAATTAAGGGTCAAGATGAAGAAAAATGGAGGGATAAAAATTAAAGAAAGATAAAAGGCTAGAATTAAAACAAATGAAGGGCTAGGATTAAAAGAACAATAAAGGATAGAGATTAAATCAAATGGAGGGCCAAGATCAAGTGAAATAATCAAAAAGTCTACTTAAGCTCACTCATAAATATGGGCAGAAAAGATAGAGAAAAATGTTAGAAATTAGCAAAATTCAAGGGAAACTCTTGCAAAATTTTCATAGAAAATTACCAAAAATTTCACCTAAACACTTTAACTCACTCTAAAACACCTCGTTAAGCCTATGAATTAAGTTGGAGCATCAAAATTTTCAAAGACAAAAAAATTTCACTCCTGGTTGAAATTTAAGAGGAAAAGAGGGAAGGAAAAATTTCAAAGCAATCCAATCTTTCAAGGGTTAATTTGGAGCTTTAGAGGTAAGTTAATCTCACCTACATCATAAGGATAAGCTATTTGCTGTTAATTATTGATTTTCTACCCATAATTTGTGTTTAATTGAATTAATTTCACAAATTAGGGTTAGGATTTTTAGTTAGGAAAAATAGTTTAAGCATGGAGTTTCATGCTATTGATGTTAAAATATGTTAATTGGACTTAAAATTAAGTAAAAAAAACAAAAATTTCCTAGGTTTATTTGTAACAAACCATTTGGCCAAATTCAAGAAATGAGGATTTTTTTGATACTTTTGTTTGTTTAATGTTTAATTGATTAATTACATGTTAGTGAAGTATAAAAGGATGTTCTAGTATAAAAAATTGTATTGGAATTAAAAAATTCACTTAGTTTACCTTAGGTGAAAATTCGACGTAATTACACAAAAATTAAAATTTTTTAGTGCAATTAGTATATTGATGTTTAATTGGTTAATTTCATGTTATCGAAGTGTGGGTACATGCAATATAAAATAAATTTAAAATAATAAAAATGAATTTTAATTGGGAATAGGTTGGAAGACAACTTTGATATTTGAGCGTTTAAATAAGATAAATTTGAAGTTAAACATCATATTTATAGTAGAATGAGAATAATAAAATAAACATAATTATCTAGTCATGACAAAATTATTATAATTTAATTATTTATAGATAATCGAACTACCGAAATCGGGTCTACTCCGCCCTGCATTGCGGGCCATACGACCAGGGAATAAATGGAAAATGAACAAGTGTATTGACTTTTTGTGGGTACCAATTATGGGCTAACGGCCTACGGTTCAGGTAGCCCAAAAGACTCTGCTACCTACGTCCATAAGAATAACTGAAAGGATAAAAACGTCATTTCGGCGTTATAGATGAATATTGCAGGGAGTTGATGCTAGCTAGGGTTTTTTTCTTAGTTGGGACATTTTAAGTGGAAGCTCTGCCTCAGTAGCGCCTCTCTCCCAAATCTCTGCATTCCTTCAAACACTAAAAGAAAGGTCTCTGTCTCTGTCTCTGTCTACGTCTCCGTCTCTCTTACTGTTGAGTTTATTTTTTTTTATTTTTTATTATTATTACTGATTTTACATATTTTGTAATGCAGGCAAGTAGGAGGTGTTGTTGAAGAGAAAGAGAGTGTAAAATGGTGGAGAAAACGAAGGGGAGAAAGGAGGAGGTGGTCACTAGAGAATATACCATTAACCTTCACAAGCGCTTACATGGCTGGTATTCTTTTCTTTTGTTTTTGCTCTATGAATGGTTTCTGTACTTGTTGCACTTTTTGTGTTAACGTTTTCAAGCATTTTTGGCTGCTTAAAAGTTCAAACTTTATTATTTGGCTATATTGAATGCTATTCGTCAGTAAAATAGGTTCAATAAAAATGGGTAATTGTAGGTAATGATGATGCGTTATAGAGAGGAGACCATGCCTTAGTTTTACCATCCGATATAATGCAGGCTTTGGAATAGTTCTGTATTTACATTCAAAGAAGGAAGTATAGTTCCGTTTAAGTTTGTGGTAAGGGAGGTTTAAGCTAGTTTTATGAGATAATATGATGGCTGAGGAGAGATCTACTGTAAGAGAGACCTATCACTTGAAAGCATCGCCATTTACAAAATCCGAAAGTATCTTCTTCCATTTCTCCAGTATTGATTGATTGATTGATTGATCGATCGATCAATTGGATGACAATGGAAGGCTCTGGAATTAAGAACCATTGATATTTTCAATGGTTGGTAACCTTCCTCCCTTTTGAGGGAATTATTATAGGATAGTTTACTTTCTGGCTTCTCCATGGATTTACTATTTCAGAGCTTTACAATTGTTTCGTAGATGGACACTCAACATGGTCAGAAAGCACTTTTTAAAATCATTTTCCCCTATTTTTTCTTTATGCCTAACATTCCTGGTACTCTTCGTTGTATTTGATTTTAATTGTTGTAGGATAGTTTACTTGCTGGCATCTCCATGGATTTGCTGTTTCAGGGCTTTACAATAGTTTCTTAGATGGACACTCAACTCGGTCAGAAAGCTCTTTTTAAAGTCATTTTCCCCTAATTTTCTTTTTTGCTTAATAACATTCCTAGCACTCCTTGTTGATGCAGGACAGCTTGGGGGGCTGTTCTGGATCTGAGATGAGTGGCTGTTTAGGGTGTATTGATGTGGATGGGAACTTAGAACTATTAGTCACAATAATATAGTTTCTAGGAGTCATACTTAGAAGATAGAAAAACCTAAGCATCACACTTAAGGTTTTAGGAGTCAGACGTAACAGGGATTGAGTCACACAATCAAAAGCTAATTGCTGGAATCTTATTCATAAACCGTCATTGAAAATATTGAAAGACTAAACTCTTATTCACAGAGTTCTAGTAGTCGAAATCCAATAAAGACTTAGATTTCAGATAAGAAAATTCTAAGTCTGTACAATAGGAAAAACCTAACAAAGCTAATTAGTACTTAGGACTAATAAAATTCTAAATAGAAAATAAAACCTAGAGTTAAGACAATTTCCAGAGTTTCCAGCAAACCTGAAAATTACTAAAATACCCTTGCATTCTAAAATTTAAATGAAACGCATAAATCTTTGTCTTTTGTCATCCGCATCACTTGTTGTATTTGATTTTTTTATTTTTTATTTTTGTTCTTCAATCATGGTTTGGGAGCCTTAGCAATTCTTCTTGTCCCCTTGTCCCTTATGCGCAAGGGGCTGCTAATGATTTGTGTGGGAACAAAAAATAGCCAAGGGGATTCTCGTACTCGCATTACATTAAGAACAATTGGTTGCTAATTCATTGAGTGCATGATTTTTACTTTACCAAAGTGGGGCATTGATCTTATTCTCATACATATTTGTTTGCACGCATTCTGTTATTAGATATCATTACTGATATTTCTGCTATTAGATGTGGATGCTGCAGTTCGTTTCAATTTTCTAATGTGACATCAAATAAACTATTTATTCAGTACTGAAATATCATATCTAATTTTGTGGAACAGCACCTTCAAGAAGAAGGCTCCTAAGGCCATAAAAGAGATCAGGAAGTTCACTCAGAAGGCTATGGGAACAAAGGATGTGAGAGTGGATGTGAAGCTGAACAAGCACATCTGGAGCAGAGGGATTCGAAGTGTCCCAAGAAGGATCAGGGTTCGCATTGCTCGTAGGAGAAATGATGATGAAGATGCAAAGGAAGAGCTCTACTCTCTTGTAACTGTTGCAGAACTCCCACCAGAAGGACGAAAGGGGCTTGGCACCAAGGTTATTGAAGAGGATGATTGATTCTTCTACTAGTGTTTTAAGAAACACCATTTGTAGGCAAAAGGTTTAATGGGACTGAAGGTTTAATGGGACTTTCCTCAAGTGTTGAGTTTTTTCAGACAAATTACTTTTATTCAAGATAATTTGTATCGCTGCTGTTTACTTATTTGGTTTGCTAGACTTTGTTACTTGTCAATTGGTCGTGGTTACCGAAGTTATTCGTGCTCTTTGATGTTTTATTTGTTTATTTATTTATTTACTGTTGGGTGCTTTGACAGACCAATCTGCCATTTGTCCATGACATTCCCTTGACCACTTTCGATTGATGGCGAACGTTTTTAGCAGAAGAGAGTGTGCTTTCACTTGTGAAAGTGGGCTTTTGCAGAAGAATTCGGCAGAATTTAGTTTACCATATAGAATATGGCGGCATATTCAATAACTAAGACACTAAATTTGCGCATTGAAGCCATGAAGGAAGGATAATAGATATGAAGATAAGAATATGACTTGTAATACGTTTAAGGATAATCTCAACTCAAAAGTTTAAGTCATTAGATGAAGTTTTTATATATGATTTATATATTTTTTTTAATATATTTTTTTGAGTGAAAGCTTTCTATTTGAAATTTGTACTAGGATTTGAATTCTTGATCGTTAAGTTAGTAAGACTTTGATATATATTAAATAATTATTTCAACTCAAAAGGTTAAGCTATTAAGTGAGGTTTCAAAATATTATTTATATTATTTTCTAATATAATTCAATAAGAGAAGGTGTTTGATGAGCAGAGCTTATTAAAGAATTTGACTAGACATTCCTAGTGTAATCTAATGCTCTTTAACATCGGCTCCATGGATCCTAGGTTTTATTGCTTTGACAGGGAATCTTAATTCGACTCTTGGTTGGATTTCAATTCCAAACATCTCTATCCAATATTATGATGAGAATCTTCTAATGGCTTTAGCTTTGAGAATTGGTACTTCTATTAAGATTTACAAAAGTACAACTCTTGCAAATCGAGGGGAATTAGTAAGAATTTGTTTTGACGTTAAATTGGGATAAATCCTAGTCGACCAAATCGACTTGGACGGTAGATCTTATAGTGTAGTGTATGAATGACTCCATACTATCTACTTTCAATGTGGAAGATATAGATAAAGGAATTTATGTGTTCAATAACTTGTCTTCCTTTGACTTATTTTGAGAAGTGTAATGATTGCAATTTTTTTTTTTTTTTTGCACCAACCTTAACTTAGAGGACTTTGTAACAAAAGAAGTAAAAGATAATTGTGACACATTCTGCAAGACAATCAATTTTCCAATCTTGTAGTTAGACGAACCAAATTAACTTTTAAATGTAAATTACAACTAATTTTTAGGTTTTATGTTATAAAGAAACTAAATTAAAATGAAGTTAACGGACTACAATAATCTTGGAAATCCCATGTAGAGAACCGCGTCCTCCCAAACTAGTTGCATTGCAAGATTGCGGGGCTAATAACTTGAAATAAAAAATTATTCAAAGTAAAAAAAAAAAATCAATTTTTCTACTCTAATATGTAATCAAAATAGTAAGACTAAACCAAAAAATAAAAAATTAAACTATCGAATAGTAAGAATAACATACTCGAAATATGAATGAAAACCTAACAACTATAAACTTGAAGACTTTATAATGCAATAATACGCATTTACAATACCGAATTCAATAAACTTACATTAAAAGAACACCGCAAATATTCACAGCGGATGCTCCATACATAATAGATCTTGAAGGAATTAAGATTGATGATTGTTGGGAGCATGAACAAAAAATTATGAACCGTGTATAAGCCTACGAGCTATCATCTACTCGGATTACCGCCTATAAATTATCATCTATTAATTACTATCCATAAGCTATCGTCTATAAATTATTGTCTACTAACTACTACCTAACAAGTTCCAAGTGTGAAACTTGTAAAATGACTAATTGAGCTATTTATAATTTGCAAGAGTTTGCTTATATGTTGTATTGTTATGTTGTTCTACTTGGTTACAATCGGTATTTGCAAGCCTTTTTCTCTTTCATGAGCTTCGTAATTGGCCACTCTTCTTCATACTTGTTGTAGTGCTTTATGTTCTTTCTTCCTTGCACCGTAATGCATTTGCGCTCTTCTTTTGTTGCGTTGTAGTGTCATATTCTCGTTATTCTTGTGATGCAATCGTTTACGTTTCTTCTAATTGTTTGAATCATGCTTTTATTACTATTAGAATTTTAATATTCTCTAACTACCTATACATTACTTACTATTGGTCACTTTGTCTTTTAGAATATGACTTTTTTCACATCTTTATTTAGAGTTTTCACTTGTTGAGAATCTTGTTGGGAGTCCACCTTTCATTGGTTTCTCCTAAATTTATGAAAGAAGTTCCAACAACTTTTTCTAGATTGCCTTATTAGGCTTGCTAGGTGAGTTGACTTAGTGAATTAGGGATGGCTTTTTCTTAGATAGAATAAACCCAATAGACTTTTAAGTGAAGTTAACAAATTTTTTTTTTTTTAAGAAAACTCCATCAAACTTGATGGGTTCCGTCCATAATAATTTGTTGGTCCAAGCCTAAAATAAATTTGGATGTAACATTTTTTTCACCTTTTTTCTATATATGGGTGAAAGTCTTTCCTATGTATGGAAAGAAATGCCTTTTTTGTGCATGTTAGTTTAGTTCTTAACTAGTTTTTTTTACTTGCACTACGTTACGAGTCCGGCAAAATATATAAAATTATTGTTGAAAAATTATTTCACTCGGATTTCTCGTCTTATAATTTACATCTATCATATCACATCAAAATTGAACAAAAATTCATTTAATTTTATCATTTTTAATTAAAATTTTGTATTTGATTGATTATTCTTTATATTTTCATAATTTTTTTATTAAAAAAATTATTTATTTACTTTTATCCATTTTTTTAGCTGAAAACTTATTTTGTAAATTATTTTTTTCTAGACATTTTTTTGCATTAAAATTTTTAATTAAAAAATCAAAGAAAAAAAAACAAAGACTAAAGTGACCAAAATGAAAAAAAAAAAAGAATCAAAATCGAATAAAAAATATTTACAAAATAAAAACATAATATTTAAAAAAGAGGAATTAAAGTGTAATGTTATGAAAAATTTTATAATAAATTTTTTAAAAACATTTAAAAATTATAAAAATGTCACCGAATAGTAAAAGAAATAATGCATTTGAATGCGAGTGAATAGTACAAATGAATCGGGATAAATAGCATTTCAAATAATATAGTGAATAATAATCCATGGTTTTTGTTTAGTTAGTTGTTGTTGTTGTTTTTGTTTTTGTTTTTTTTTTCATTTGTATGTATAAAGAAAACTGAAAACATATTAGTTGGACTCAAACTCTTCATCGTCCATTAAGTTATATCGAAGAGATCTACTTTTAAAAAGAGAATAGTTACCTTTTCCGAACTCTTTCTTTTTATTGTGCCCTTTGTCAATTGGGAAACTACTCTCTACCTGTCTTCCCAAATTCTAAGGTTTGTATTGTGTCTACCACCATTCTTGCAATATCCATGGCTTTTCAAAAATCTTCACTCGTTTTATATGTTGATCATTCTTTCCTTCCGATACTATCTACATCTTTTGTTGCCATTCAATTTGGCATCCTTTGTGACCGAGCGCATCTTAATGGTTCTTCCTCTCTAATGGATTCTTTAATCATTTTATGTTTCTCTAAAGGGTTGCCTTCGACCTTTCCGAGTACTCTACATCCGTTCACCCTTACATTCTTAGTCCTTCTCTCTCTAGTGGTCTTAGCCTCATGGAATTTCTTCCTACCGCTTGCTTGTTGCCTTTTGGTGGAACCGATTCCCGATGCTATAATGCCCCTAACTCACTTACTATTTTCAAATAGGAGCAGCTACGTTTGTTACATTATTAAGCCTAAAATCCCGACTAGTTCCCTATACTACATAACCAAAATTACATCAAATATTAAGCAATGAAACACGTACAATAAAATTTATGTAGTATTAATAATTACGAGCATAGGAATTATAAAATATCTACGATGCCGACTACCCATAAATAAGAGAACCGTATCACTTATCTATAACTCTTCAAAAGATTCCTATAATTTTAGGTAGCATATGAGCCCTTTAAGTGAGAACCAAGCAGCTTCCTTGATGGAACTATCTTTGTCTCTACCTGTTATACCATGGAATAACAACAACAATATGAGCCAAAGCTCGGTAAGTAAGGTGATGCGTGTGATATGTAATGATTTCTTACTATCCCGAATTCATCTATTAATTTTAGTTCGGGTATCCTAGGTATTAGCAAGTCCACTCCATTTTCATCTCTCGGTGATTGCCTTATCACCTATAACTAACAACGAAATTATCCATCGTTGTAGCACACGATTAACGAAATTATCCATCGTCCGACGATGTAATGAAGTAATAGAGTACGCATATAGCTTCATTGCTAATACCTATTTAATCCAGTTTTGGTTACCAAACCTTATCGATTCTCAATCATCCGACTTTTCAATCTACCCACAAATACATGTGATGCATAATGATGTTTCATTTACCATATCCGTCAAGTTATGGGTATCAAACCCTACATTCTCAAACCATTCTTGAAATTCAACCCACATATAAAAACACCTATTTGTCTCATATACCTTACATAAATATTTATTTAAGGAAATCAATTACCATCGAATATAATTAATCAATCAATATAATTCACTTCTTTGATAAGTATCTTCTCTTCATATAATTAATAAATAATAACATTAATTTCATCCTATAATTTTGATACCACTTAGCTTACATAGACATTAATCATAGGGACCAATTGAATAAAGATTTAAGATGTAATTCCTTACTTTAACCCGACTTTGGCCTTAATGGTCAAATTTAGATTTTAACTAATTTGAGCAATTTTCTTCAATTTTCTTGAAAGTTTACCTTCCTACACTTCAAATTATACTTGCTCAAGTGCAATTGAACC